GCAGGCTCGCGCAGGTAAACCAGTGCAGAAGTCCAGGATCAGTAAACTCAGGAAGCGTGCACATCGTTTTCGGGCCCTCAAACATCATCGTAAAGGTCTAACACGTGTTTACCGAGCAGGAGGTGTAGCCTCGGCCACGTGCGGAGTGCGGGTCATGGGCATGTCAGATAGCGAATTGCAGAAGTTGAGGGCAGTCTCGGCCTTCGCGCTCTTCGGCAAGGCCAAGGGCCGCTCGCGAGCCGTGCAGTTTCTGCTGACGGACCCTCCAGATGCAGATCCGTCCTTCCAGGTGAACTCGCTCCCGCTGCTCACTTGGTTGTTGGCGCTGCACCAGGAATGGGCCCCCGCAAATATGATGGAACAAATATTCCATGGGGCCTTATCAAGGGCCCAGCAGGGTTGGGGATATATGCGAGGCCCTGCAGGGGCCGTCGTCCAGACCCTTAGGAGTCTCGGGTGGACGGCAAGGTCGTATCATGTGTGGATAGATCCCCGTGGGCTCCAAGTTGACCTCCATCAAACTGGGATCCCCACTCTCAAAGCTGTTATTTATATGGGTATCAAGCGGCAGCTCGAGCAGGCGGCCGCCAAGCACCTTGGTTGGGAAGGTTTTGTTCTTCTGGATCCTGTGAAAGCGGAACTCAGGCAGCTTCGGGGACGTGAACTTTCGGTTCAGGCTGATCTGGTGGCCATTCATATGGCTGGGGGCCTCTGGACTCAGGAGAAGCTTTTCCAGGATAGGTACGGTATCGTTCGTGGCTGCAGGTGGTGCTTGGGCGCCCCAGGCACCATGTCGCACCGTCTGTGCAGGTGCGACGGGCTCGCTGGCTGGAGGCGCGAGCAGGGTTTGAATGAGTTGATTTCCATAGGTAATGATTTCCCCGACAACCAGCTGGTTAACTTCGGCTGCTTGGATAGCAAGCGTGATGGTCTTTCCCCTCCGCTGCATGCCGGTGAGAGCCAAGCGAGGTGGTACCCTCGGGGAGGTCATCTTGGGGGACTTCTATTTATTGATGGGTCAGGGCTAAATCCTGATATTGATTGGATGACGAGGGCGGGGTGGTCGGTATGCTCACTCAGACCTGGCACGGAGGAGGTCGAAGCTGTCGGTTACGGTCCCGTTCCAGGCTTGGTTCAGTCCTCAGGTCTTGCCGAACACTACGCGTTCCTGATGGCCTTGACCCTCGTGCCCGCCAGAGCGACGATCGTGACAGACCACAAGAACTTGCTGCTGGCCCTCGAGAAGGGCCCAGAGGTAAAGTGTAACCCGGCCCAGCCACACTGGGAGATCTGGAGGCAGATTTTCTGGAAAATCGAAGACATCGGGAGCGAAAGCGTTGATTTGGTTTGGATGCCTTCCCATCGGTCCAGGACCTGGTATAGGAACCATGGGCATCCCGATGAGTGGTTTCCTGGGAATGCCGCGGCCGACAAAGATGCGAAGCTAGGAGCTATGGGGCACCCTTCTGTGGCCCATGTAGATCAGCGGTTAGCAACAGCCGTGCATGTAGGTAGGCAGTTTGTTCGTTTGCTTGGAGGGACTTTGAGCAAGCTGAGCGAAAGCGGCTTTCCTGATGTGGATAAATTCCCAAGAAGAGTAAGTATAAGCCTGTAGCTCTTGGGGCGGCCCAGCCAGCGGTCACTCTCAAGATAGATAGGTCTGATAATGATCACCTCCTCCACCTTAGAGATGGGGTCTGGGGGTGTAGAGTATGCGGCAGGGCCTCCAGGAAGAGAAGCGTTGTCGCGCAGGACCCTTGTCCAGGCAAGCCCCGTGTCTTGGCCAGGTGAACTGTTCTTCTGCATGGCTTGTGGTTGTCACGCGCGGAGGCAGGTCAAAGACATGGCTCTGCGATGCAATCGAGGGCCATCCAGTGGTGCGGAGCGCTTACTCAAGCTGCTACGCAACGGTGTGGGCCCAACCAGCAAGAAGGAGGTTGGAGTGCCACTCCCCGCCCACTAATTTATTTTGTCTGTGTGTGTCTTGCGCTGCGGGACACGCGCTCCGAGGCTCCAGAGGCTCCAGAGGCTCCAGAGGAGGAGGAGGAGGAGGGGCGAGCGAGCCGCAGGAGAGGCGTCCGAGTGACGAACACCAACCGCGTGTGAGACCTGAGAGCCACAGGGGTGGCGGAAGGCGGAAGCCTGGGAGAGGGTGGGGCGCCTCAGGAAAACCACACCCAAGAAAACCTCCCAGGCCCAAGTCCAAAAGAAAACACTAGGGGGCAGGGTTCGGGCCAGAACGCGCCGCTCCTGCCCCACGCTGGCGGGGCTCCAGGCCACGGGTGATACGGTCGATCGCCGTGAGCTGGTTCGCCCTAGTCTTTGGATTCTCCGAGAAACCTTGGCACCGCGCCCGCAGCTTGCGGGCGGACCTGAAGGACTCGGACCCGTTGAAATTGCCACCGCACTTGCGGCAGCAATACACGGAATTAACACAGAAAACGTCATGCCCCAATTCAGCGAATTCGGCAAGCACAGGTTGGGGAACGTCAGCCGAGCCGCTGGCAGCAGACACCTGCTCCAGCGGCTGGGGAGGGACCGCGGGGAACCCCGAGGAGGCCTCCAAAGGCCGAGACGTGGACCCCAACATCCTATCGGCCGCCTCGATGGCCGCCGTGACCCTAGAATCCGACACACTCAGCCACGCCTCAGAACTCCGCAGAAAGTAGTCCTCGGCAAGGCTCTGGACGAGAGGCGAGGGAGCACATACCCGATCAGCTCCCGAACGAAGAGTCTGGAGGGTACTCGCACTCCGAGCGACACGATTGCACCGTCGACACCGATACTCAGACGTCCTCTGGCAGAAGAGCAACTCGTGGTCCTGGGGCCTCTCGAAAACCACACGCTTGGGCACCTGGGCGAGCTCTGGGTCCTGCTCCACGACAGGGTCGGCTCCCCACCTCCGAAACTGCACAACCTGGAAGGCCGCCCACGACACATAGTGCAGGACCTGCCTGTGCTGCTTCAGCCCAGCTGCCAAACTGTCAGCCAGTGTCTTTGACACCATATGCGCAGCACTGCCACACTTCGCGAAGAAGTCGGCCCAGGCATTGCCGACGTAGGCCTCCAGCTCGTCTGGCGTGGCCGACCCGATGATGTCCTCCAGCTTCCTGTGAGCTGGAGTCCACTGAAACCGCACTGGTGGCAGACGTGGATCGCGTGCTCTGGCAGCCAGGAGGAGGAGGAGGGGGAGGGGAAGGAGGAGGAGGAGGAGGAGGAAGAGGAGGAGGAGGAGGAAAAGGAAAAGGAAAAGGAAAAGGAGAAGGAGGAGGAGGAGGAGGAGGAGGAGGAGGGAGCGGAGGAGAGGAGGAGGCGGAGGAGGAGGAGGAGGAGGAGGAGGAGAGGAGGAGGAGGAGGAGGAGGAGGAGAGGAGGAGGAGGAGGAGGAGGGGAGGAGGAGGAGGAGGAGGAGAGGAGGAGGAGGAGGAGGAGGAGGAGGAGGAGGAGGAGGAGGAGGAGGAGGAGGAGGAGGAGGAGGAGGAGGAGGAGGAGGAGGAGGAGGAGGAGGAGGATGAGGAGGAGGAGGAGAAGGCAAGCTGCGTGGTGTGGGCTCAATGCCCGGGGCGCCCGCGAGCTCCCACGAGGCGGTACCGGCGACAAGGCGTCGCAGCCCTGGCGGGCGCACCCGGCGCACGAGAGCCGCCCACAAACGCCCACGCAGCAGCGGCGCGGGCGGCAGCGTGGTGCCAACCTCGGCGGACCCGCTCAGCGCACGGGGCGCCCACGAGCGCCCGCGAGGTGCCCTGGGGTGGCAACGGAGAACTCCTCGGCGGAACCGTCCACTTACACCCTCGGCCTCCCAGATGGGGTCGGAGTAGATGGGGTCGGAGGGTCGTGCCACATCGCCGATGCATCGGCGATACATCGGCGATGCGGCTCGATGTGAGGACCAATTTTCTCCACGCCGACGTCGCCGGTACATCGCCGACGTCGCCAGTGCATGGCCGATGCATCGCCGATGCATCGGCGATGCATCGCCGATGTATCGGCGATGCGGCGAGATCCTTCGAACCCATTTACTCGGACCCCATCGAGGAGGCCTCTGCACACACTGGTCGTTGGAGGGAGGCAGCCTCGACTCCCAGATCCCAGTTTTTTAATATAGACGGCTTCCTACTTCGCAAGGGTCGAGCGGCCTTTTCTCCCCCTCCCCTTCAGGGGGCGGGCAAAGCCCCAATCTGCTTCCGAACGCCTTCCTGCTTCGTGTTTCTGCCCGCTTCTCCTGTCCCATGGGTACGCAGGGAGCGTCGGCCTGGGTGCCAGCGCTGCTGGTGGGAGCCATCCGCGCCGCTCTCCCGGCCAAAGCGGCGGCAAGAGGCGCGAGGCCGCCTGGCCCGCCACCAGACTGACATCAGGCGTCTCCCTCAACAGAAGGAGCATTCAAACATACTCAATAGTCAGGGCACGTTATTATTAGTATCATTATTGTTATTAACATTATGTGCTAGTATTATTCGTATTATTAGTATTCGTATTACTAGTATACGTATAAGTACACGTAAACGTCTTATTATTTGTCTCTTTATCAGTACCATTGTCATTACCAGTACTATTCGTATGTTTGTGATGATTAGTCGTATTGTTCATTGTTTTCATTACGATTTTTGGTAGTGTTCTTATTATTATTATGGTTATTATTTATTATTATTATTTTTTTATTATTATTTTTATTGTTATTGTTGTTATTATTATTATTATTATATCTTATTATTATTATATCTTTATTATTATTAATAATATTATTTCTAGTGCTACTACCTGTATGATTAGTATTCTTATTATCATTCTTTGTTATCGTTCGTAATCGTATTACTAGTCTTACTCCTCTTCTTCTTCTTTTCTGATCATTCTTATCATTATTATTGATATGTTAATTCATGATTATTTCTATATTATTTGTATTATATATGTTTATGGCTTTTCGTCACAAAGCCGCCTATGGGAGGACACGCCCGACCTACTACGCAGGGGTCCTCTCTGCCGCCCTCCTCGGCCGCAGAGGACACCCCGGTGAACGCCGCGCTGGGCGGCGTGCGCCGGGCCCTGCGCCCCGCCAAGGCCCGGCCCAATGGGGGGGAGGAGGGAGGAGGTAGGGCGGAGGAGGAGGAGGCGGAGGAGGAGGAGGAGGAGGAGGAGGAGGAGGAGGAGGAAGGAGGAGGGAGGAGGAGGAGGAGGGGAGGGAGGGAGGAGGAGGCGGAGGAGGTAGGGAGGAGGGAGGAGGAGGGGGAGGAGGAGGAGGAGGAGGAGGAGGAGGAGGAGGAGGAGGAGGAGGAGGAGGAGGAGGAGGCGGAGGAGGAAAGGGGGGGAGGAGGAAGGAGGAAAAGGAGGGGAGGAGGAGGAGGAGGAGGAGGAGGAGAGAGGAGGAGGAGGAGGAGGAGGAGGAGGAGGAGGAGGAGGAGGAGGGAGGAGGGAGAGGGAGGAGGAGAGGAGGAGGAGGGAGGAGGGAGGAGGGAGGAGGGAGGAGGAGGAGGAGGAGGAGAGGAGGAGGAGGAGGAGGAGGAGGAGGAGGAGGGAGGAAGGGAGTAGGAGTAGGAGGAGGAGGGGGAGGGAGGAGGGAGGAGGGAGGAGGGGGGAGGGAGGAGTGAGGAGGGAGGAGGGAAGAGGAGGAGGAGGAGGAGGAGGAGGAGGAGGAGGAGGAGGAGGGGGGGGAGGAGGGGGGAGGGGGAGGAAGAGGAGGAGGGGGCTCGGTGGCCAGTCATGGGAGCCGCGGCAGCTTGCTGGCGCCCATCGAAGAAGAAACAAAGACATCAGGATCAACGTTTTGGCGCTCTGCGAGGATTCCTTGGATCTGCGCTGGGCCCCCCGGCGGCGCTTCAGCGCCGCTTCGCCCCAGCATGCCGGTTCAGGCGTGCCCCAGGACGGGTCCTTCGGGAACTCGCGGCAGAGGATTCTGGGCTTATGACGTTCCAACCGACTGTAGCCTTGACCACCAGAAAGAATTTCGAGCACCATAAAAAAGTTTCGCAAATCGAGGGTTTTTTTACGTGTCGGGCCCTGGGGGACATTCGTCCGACATTGTTTGGACACTGTTTCGACACTCTTTCGACTCTTTTCCGGGTGCTCGAAATTATTTATGGGATGTGGTCCTTAAGTGCGATGGGACTTTAGGCGGTTTTCGGTCCCTGCGTGACGAACCAACAGCACACACCCATACCCATAGGGGGGTCGGAAAGGGCTATGGGTGCGTGTTGTCGGATGGGGGTCCCCGCTCGAACGGGAGCGTTCCCCAGGGTCCGACGACACGCACCCATACCCATAGCCAGTCCTCCTCCCAACGACCCCCCTATGGGTATGGGTGTGTGTTGCTCGTTCGTCACTGCGGGTGGGGGGGCCTCATTTTGGGCCGTGGGGTCCGTGGGAACTGGGAAAGGGGTCGAGACATCGGGGAGCCTCCGTCGTAACAAAAGCATCGAGGGGTGTTTCTGAAGGTGGGGAAGGAGGCGACCGGAGAGGATCAGGACCACGACAATGGCCTGTGCTGGTTGAGGCGGCGACGGCGCCAAGGAGGATCGACTCGCACGTCCGGGGGGGGGAGGGAAAGCGGAAGAAGCAGGAGGGCAACTTGGTCCTTCTCCTCCTCCTTCTCCATCTCCTTCGCCTTCTCCTTCTCCTCCTCCTCCTCCTCCTCCTCCTCCTCCCCCTCCTCCTCCTCCTCCTCCCCCTCCACAATCACAAGGACGACGGTGAGGATCAATCTCAAGGAAGCGCTAGAGGTCCCCACGGGGTCGTGAAGCCTGCCGCCTGCACCTGGATCCCCCCCTCGATGCATCGGGCGCTTGTGGGCACAGGAACCGCCGGCAGAACCAGCCGCGTCCACCGATTCTTTAGATCGTTTTGTACTACCCTTTCGAGCTTCCTTTTCTCGAAGGAGAAGAAACAAAACACATAGACATAAGCTTCTGGCGCTTCGCGCGGATTTCTTGGATCCGCGCCTGGGCCCCCCCGCGGCGCCTCCAGCGCCGCCCCTGGCGCGCTCCGCGCGCCAGGGAGGGGGCTCCAGCGCGAATCCAAGAAATCCGACCAACAGTTTATGTCTATGCGAATTGTTTTTCTAGATTCTTCAGCTCGTTTTGTACACTATCCTTTCGAGCTCCCTCTTCCCCCGAGCCTCGCGTGAGTTTGGTCGTCGTGTTGACAAAGGCTGGGCTCTTCGCGAGACGAATGAGTTCAAGAGGCTTCGTCGTTCCGCCGACTACTTAGGGAAGCTGCAAGGGCGAGGCATGGGCTAGAATGGCGAGGGTCTCAGCCGCGCTGCGTTGACATACATTTGGAAGGGGACCAGACATCTCACGCCCAGAATTTGACAACCAAACACTTGCGCCGACGTTTCTTCAGTCCCCCCTTGTTGCCACCACAACTTTGCCACGACGTGGACCTGTATTTCACGGTGCCAAAGATGTTACGGCGCCCTTGCGTGCCATCAGATCGTATCATCCTTCGGCCAACACAGGGGACCAGTCGTCGTAGCAATCGCGATGTGTCCGCCAATGCTAATTCTATGGGAAGGGAATCCTCCTCCCCACCCAGATTGGCGGGTAGGAGGATGACGGTGATCATGGTGGTGATGGTGGTGCTGATGATGATGATGATGATGGTGATGATGATGATGATGATTATTCAGGTGATAATCATGATACTGCTGATGATGATGATAATGATGATGATGATAATGATTGGGATGCTGGCGATACCGATGATGACGATAATGACGATGATGGTGATGATGGTGATGCTGATGATGATGCTGATGATGATGATGACGATGACGATGACGATGACGATGATGATGATGCTGATGATGATGATGATGATGATCATGATGATGATGATGATGATGATGATGATGACGATGACGATGACGATGACGATGATGATGATGCTGATGATGATGATGATGATGATGATGATGATCATGATGATGATGATGATGATGATGATGATGATGATGATGATGATGATGATGATGATGATGATGTTGACGCTGATGATGCTGATGATGCTGATGATAAGGGTGGTGGTGGCGGTTGTGATCATTATGATGGTGGTGCTGATTCGGGTATAGCCAGGACCCCAGGTAAGGGGACCCGGTTAGTGGTAGAACCCCGGAGCCCCTAAATTTGTCAGAATCACTCAAACCAGGTCTGCCGTAGCTGGTGCTTTTTCGGGTGACGGCGGTTCCGGTTAGTGGAACGGGACGGGGGGGGCTTCCCCCAGTACACATTTTTAAATCAGGTCCCACTAAACCCAGTTCTGGCAATGCCCGACTGATGCTGATACTGCTGATGGTGATTGTAATGACGATGCTGATGCTGATGATGATAATGCTGCTTGATGATGGTGATGATGGTGGTGATGATGATGCTGATGCTGATGCTGCTGCTGCTGCTGATGATGATGATGATGATTAACTACTATGTTGATGATGCTGATGGTGAAGATGATGATTATGATTATGATGATGCTGCTGATGATGCTGCTGCTGAGGATGATGCTGATGATCATGATGACGATGATGATGATGATGATGATGCTGCTGCTGATGATGCTGCTGCTGCTGATGATGATGATGACGATGATGACGATAATGATGATGATGATGATGATGATGATGATGATGATGATGATGATGATGATGATGATGATGCTGATGATGATGATGATGATGATGACGATGATGGTTTTGGTGGTGATGATGATGATGATGATGATGATGATGATGATGATGATGATGATGATGGCGATGCTGATGGTGAGGATGATGACGGGGGGGGGGGTATGATGACGAGGACGATGATGATAAGAGAAAACAGATGAGTGGGACGACGAAGAAGATGAGGATCAGGAGGATGTGGAGGAGGAGGGGGGACGAGCAGGGGACGGAGGAGGAGGCGGAGGAGGAGGAGGAGGAGGTGGACGAGGACGAGGAGGAGGGGTAGGAGGAAGAGGAGGAGGAGGAGGCGGAGGAGGAGGGGAGGAGGAGGAGGAGGAGGAGGAGGACGAGGACGAGGAGGGGGGGTAGGAGGAAAAGGAGGAGGAGGCGGAGGAGGAGGGGAAGGCGGAGGAGGAAGAGGAGGAACAAGAGGAGTAGGGGCAGGAGGATGACGAGGAGGATGAGGAGGAGCAGGAGGATGAGGAGGAGGAGGAGGAAGATGAGGAGGAGGAGGAGGAGGAGGAGGAGGAGGAATAGCATGATGATGGTACGGAGGGGTTGCGTTTGAGTTTCTTCGGGGGTTCGTCTGGCTTCTGGTCGGCCTCTTGAGGGCCCGCTGGCGGTGTCGGAGGTCATCTTTGGGCGGATGGCTCGACGTCTTGGGCGGTTTCGGGCCCCCTTCTTGGGGTACTCTTGGGCCGTCTTGGGCTGTATTAGAGGCCTTCTTGGCCGTCTAGGCGCTCTCTTGCGAGCCCTTCGAGGGTATCGCTCGCGAGCCCCGTGGGACTTCTGGCGGGCCTCTCAGGGGCCTGCTTTCAGTCGGGCCTTTCCCTCTACAGGGGGAAGGTTCAAAAATAGTCAGACAACAATCCGGAGACCATTTTTTGAGCATTTTTGGTGCATTTGATTTTTTTTGGGGGGGTATGTTTACCCGCTGTGGGGGGTTCTCGAGGTTCTCCTGGCCCTTTTGCTGTGGCGTTCTTGCTTCTCCGGGAGCCCAGAAGGGACGCCGGCGAGGTGAGTTCGACGACCCTTTCCCCCCCCCCAAAACATTAGGTTGGACATGTTCTCTTCTGGGGGGATTTTGGACGAAAAATTCACAATACCGAACCAATAATCAAACATAATCAAAAACACTCAAAAAAATGTCCCCATACTTTTTTGTTTGTAAGCAATATTTTTGAACATTCCTTCTGTAGATGGACAGGCCCGACTTAACTCAAGCACGATTTTGAACCCTGGAGGAAGTGGTCGGGGGAGAATGGGCTGCCCGTCGGTCGTTGAAGGGAGGTATTTTTTTGGATTCCCAGATCCCAACCTATTTCCAGCCTTCCTGCTTCACGGACCGATATGCTTTTGCAGCGTGCTGTTATTTTCTGGCAGGGCTTGAACCCATCCACTTCATCCGCCTTGCTACTTCGTGTTTTTACTTACTTTTTTCCGACCGATGTTGTGTACACCCAACCATTTTCCAAGTCTTATCAACCCCGGCAAGCGGGGATCTGCGGATTATGCACATGAAGCTGATTTCGTCAGCCTCCCCTTGCTGCCCCCCTTTTCGCTTGCAAGTCCACGAGGACAACGATTTCTCAGCGAGTCTTGTTTTCTTTCTCTGCCTTCGGGGGTCTCCTGAGATTTCAGGAGGCCTCCTGTGGAGACATTCCGGGGACCTCTAGTGACCTCGGGATGAGGAGGAGAGGGAGTTCATGGAGTTGGAGTATCCAGATATCCTCATTCCTGGCGCCTGTTGTTTGAGGCTGCTTTTGATTATATTGCGGCCACCGCCTAAGTCGTGTCCTTTCTGTTTTGGTTGCCTCATAGACGCCACGGTTCTTCGCCAAACTCTGGGCAACGCAAAGCAGAATTCTCCAGGCGAAGGACCCAACCATGTGCACGTGTGAGGGAGGTTCCCCTCGGGTCACGCAGCGTGTGAGGGGTGTGGCGAAATGGGTGGGGGACGCATGCGAACTTTGCCACTTGGGCCCCCGGTAGAGCTCCATGTGGGGCCACGAAGCGTGTGGGTGGTGTGCCGAAATGGGCGGGGGGACGCATGTGGACTTTGCCACTGGGCTCTTCGGTGGAGCTCCCTGTGGGACCACGAAGTGTGTGAGGGGTGTGCCGGCCTGGTAGTGGGGGCGCACGTGGACTTCGCCACTGGGGCCTTCGGTGTTGCGTCCCGTGGGGTCACGAAACGTGTGAGGGGTGTACCGAAATGGGTGGGGGAATGCATGCGGACTTTGCTACTGGGGCTTTCGGTAGAGCCTCCTTTGGAGCCACGAAGCGTTTGAAAGGTGTGCCGGAACGGGCAGGGGAACGCATGCGGGCTTTGCCATTGGCTCTCGGTGGTGTGATGGGTGTGCCAAAATAGGTTGGGGAGACGCGTACGGACTTTGCCGTTGGGGCCCTTAATGGAGCACCCTACGTGGCCTCCAAACGTGTAAGGGGTGTGCCAAAACGGGCGGGGGGATGCATGTCGCTGCTGCTGATGATGGTGGTGGTGATGAGTATGGTGGTGGTGGTGGTGATGGTGGTGGTAGTGG